AAACAGTCAAACATTCAATGGTTTCAGCTTTTCAAATAAAATAATTTGATGCTCTTCTTTGTCATATGTGATCGTAAACTGAATATTTTTGGGGTTTTGGACTATTGCTTGGATAAAACAAAAAATTTAAAATCTCTTGCTGGGCTCTGGTAAATTATAATGGCCATTTTTCCCAGTTTTCTGACAGTTTCTAGACAAAACTGTTAATCCATTAAAATAGGGATGCACTGATACAGATACCAGTATTGGGTATCTGGTAACATTTCATATTTTACAGTCAGAAAGTGAGGAACTGCTGAAATAAGTGGTATCGTTGCATCCCTAAATTAAATTTTAAAAGTGATCAGCAGATTAATCAATACAGAAAACAATAGTTAGTTGCAGTCCTAGTCTACATTACACAGTTTGAAACATTTCATAAAATGACTGTAACTGTAATAGAAGTGTAAGCATAACTGCAGCACATCTTACCAATATAGGTGGTCTTGCCTCCTGGAGCTGAGCTCATGTCCAACACTGACTCTCCCTCCTGAGGCGAGAGTGCCATGACTGGCAGAAAACTGGAGGCTCCTTGCAGCATGTACTGACCAGACAGATACTCTGGGGTGGCACCTGTTTTAAAACATGGAAAGAATTACAGTTAAAGCAGATATTCTCAAATAAAGATCCTTTATAGCTCAAGTCAGATCGATGAATGTAATGAAACTTACCAACGGGTACGGAGGAGTCATAGATGACCAAACCTACTTTAGACCATTTCCCCAATGGATCAAGGTTCACTCCTCTGTTGATTAAGGCCTAAACAAGGAAAAACACGTTCAACATGAGACACAATACTAGTAAAGTAATTTGATGAGGAGGTCCTCTTTGTGTTCAGTGGCTAATGACATAATCAGAACTAAACTCAAAGTATAAACATTTGTATATTTTAATCTGGATATTCTTCTATTGATTAATTCCTAGTTCTAATCACCCTTGTTGTATGACAGTTCGTCATATGTCCTGCAACTTTTTCATGAAAATGTGACTCAGAGTGTAGTTTTTGTTCTGCTGACTGCATTTACTCATATTTTAATGTTATTCCCCGTTAAATCCTGTAAACAAAACAATTATATTAGTAGGACTGCACAAAAATTAAAAAATCTAAATAATACCAAACTCACAATATGGTCATCAAATCGCAGAAGCAGCAATTTTTGGATGAATGTAAAATGTGTGACAATATACAGTGAAGTACTTTAGTGATACAGAGATACCCTGACCTACAAAACTTGTTCTCCAGATTTAAGACGGTTGTTTAGTACAGACCCCACAAAAACTTCAAATCATGATTTTAGTAGTTTTTTAGGAAAATTGAATTTGTGATGCAGCCATACTTCTTCAGTTGAGCTTTTTACTAAAGTAAAGAAACACTATGAAGCATATTATTAGGATTTTTTAACATTCCATCCATCTCTCCCACAACGAGCCGTTACCTGTGCAAGATCCCGTCTCCTTGTTTTCAGTGTGTTGGTCCGAATAGTGACAGGTCTCTGAATTTCATTGGCCTCAAGGAAATCTACCAGCTGTAAACAAGAAAGGGGACAAAACAAAATCAACAACTTTGAAAAACATAATTGAACTCACCACACAATCTCAATCAGGTCCTGACAACAACCACATGTTCAAACGAGTATTATTGTGTACAATCAATCAGTTCTTGAACAGCAGAAGTGCAGTAATGAGAAGGTGCTTTCTTTGGTATGACAGTGGGGAAGACAAATCACTCACCTCTGAAAGAGGGAAGAGGTCTATTAATTTCTCAATGAGGAAGTAGTTGTAGCTGTAATAAGTACAGAGATCTTTCTTCAGAAGAGAGATGTACTCGGCTCTCTCTTTCCCCTCCTCCCTTTTTGTTGAGAAATTACAAAGGACGTCAATGTTGTCCTTTATTCTTTGATGGATTGACTTCAGGTCTAGAGGCAGGACACCTAAGGATGCGGATAAGAAAAGGATTCAGACTTCATGTAAAAGAGTTACATTTTAAAAATAGTGGAATCTTATTGGACGAAAGAAAACTGAGTGGCTCACCTTCCTTCTCACGTTCCTCTGCCCCAGGTAGCTTAAATTGATCCATTTCATCTATGTTGGCTTGTACTGTGTCTTCCTCGTCCATGTCAGCATCTGATTTATTTTCCTCTTCCTTATCATCATCATCATCATCATCGTCGTCTTCCTCCTCCTCCTCCTCCTCATCATCATCACTCCCTAGACCCATGGCTTCCTTCATCTTTTTCGCTTTCTTTGCTGCCCGCTCGATGGGAAGAAGCTAAATGTGGAACAACAAAACAAGGAACGTAGTCACTAAATTATACAAACTACATATTTACTACATCAACATGTTAAAGATACACTGTTTGGTTTTGGTTGCAACACCCAGTAGCACCGTTTCAACACATCAACAGTGAAGTGGGAGGAAATTTGGAGTCTCTATAATGAAATCAGGAATATTATCTGTAAATGTGCAAAGAAATTTTGAAATTTGAATCACAATTTTAGTCAAATTTGCAGTCAGATAAAGTGGTTCGAGCATTTCACATACCTCCTCTCCATCACTTTCTTCTTCAGCTGCTTCCTCACCACTGCCATCTTCAAGTGTACCATAGTCATCAACCATGTCGTCGTCGTCGTCATCATCATCATCATCATCGTCGTCGTCGTCCTCCTTCTTCTTCTCCTCCACCACTTTTTTTACTCCTAATTTGGCACCCTTCTTTCCTTGGTCTTTTCCTCCCTTCTGCTGCTGCTGCTCTTCCTCCTCCTCGTCTTCCTCTTCCTCCCAGTGCTCATCACTGTCATCCTCACTTTCAGGTTCATCAATTTTGCGCTTTCTCTTAGCTGGTTTCAACCACTTACTGTTCTCATCAGTGAATCCTTTAGATAAAAAGAAAATAATAAATAAAAGATAATAAATTCTATGTACATATTCTGTGATCACTATTTTACTAGGCCATTAACCTCACCTACAAACAACAGATTTAATTGACTCAACCAACATCCACGGAACAACACACCCATGTTTCTCATTCTCGTCTGTGACAACAGGTAATTAAAATCCAAATACACACATGCTTAAGGTCTTTACAGGTGCTGGTTAGTGATTATCTGCACTGTATACAGAAATCATCCCAACTACATCCACAGACACTGATGTGGTTACCTTTCTTGGGCTGTTCCTCAGCAGCAACTTTAGGTTTTTTCGAATTCTGGACTCTTTTTGCAGCTCTGTAAAATGACAAGATGAATGAGCAACTGGCAAACAGAATAACTGAATTTCATGTTACGTAATCAGAAAACCTCTTACCTTTTCCTGCCTCTACTTGACAGGCGCTTTGGTCCTGTTTCCTCTGCAAACAGAAAGGGAACACTTTGACCAACAAGCCACAATTATGCAGTAGACATTGTTTTTAATGTATAGATTTACAGAGTGAGTGTGCGTCTTTATAAATAGATATTAAGGGCACAATATTCACCATCAGTTATAAATTTGGCCAACTCGGTTTCTGCTCCTTGCTGCTTCTTGGTCTTTTTCCCCGGCCCTCTCTTCACTTTATTGGTGGGATCCAACTTCCGACCCATGACTCCGACCCAAAGTACACAAATATACCCTTTGGAGAAAATCTGAGGAAAATAATGTTTTATCTTTTTAAAGCCTGTGCAAAACAACAATGTCAGTGTATCTGAACAAAGGTCACTGAGAGTGCTGTCTCTAGACAATGTTACATTTTAGATAGATAGATAGATAGATAGATAGACTTTATTAATCCCCAGAGGGAAATTGGGTCGTCATAGCAGCCAGGTACATTAAAATACAATAAAATACAATAATAGAATAAAATACTTAGATAGAAAAGATAAAAAAAGATAAATAGGTAGGTAAGGTGCAAAGTTTTTAGTTTTTAATGGGACTTACTTGCCAAACAACTGCAGAGCATCAACCACAAAAAGCGACACATACCTTAAGTTTAAGTTATAACATGTTGTACTGAACTTAAGTAAACTCCACAACATCCTGCAGATACTTTCCCTGTTTAAGTAAATTAAGGCTTACCTGATGACTAACCACAAAAATATGATCAGGTGTTAAGCTATCTAAATACACTGCAGTTAAAAATGTTGAGATCATTATTTTGGTAGAAGACTACAACACTCATCAATACTTAGCTGAAGCAGTAAATTCATATCATGACAGAGAGAGATATTTCTAAAGTGATCAAATACTGACAGACAGAGAAACTGCCAGAAGTCATTAAACTTTTAATTAAGATCTGGTGGAAACAGGTCCTCAGACCTACTGTAACATCGTGTCAGAGACAGCCAGTTAATCACGTGTAAGACAAACATTTCCATAAGTATCTAATTTAAAAGGCCACATCCGACAGACAGCACTTGTGTTTTAGATAGTAGTAGTTTTATGGTGTTTCATATGGATTCAAAATAACATTGCTTGACCCACAGCGACCCTAAATGTTAAATAAGAAGGCATTCAAACGCCTTTTGCACGTTTGCAGTGACAGAATAATGAGAGAGTGAGCTGCAGTGACCCGTTACACACAGGACATTACTACTAACTCCACCTGTTGTTATTAAGACCAGACCTGAGTCTCCGTCTAACTGCCTCAACAACACATATTCACACACTCACCGATCAATCTGCTCCTTTTTCCGCCTCAACCTCGGACTGTGCGGTTTAATAGAAAACGGTCACACGTGAATTTTTCCCTCAACACGTTGCGGAAGAACATCCGGCGCTCGTCGGTGACGTAGGGATGGTGACCACGCGCGTGCACACACAGCGACCGTTGAAGAGACTTTTTTTTTTCTTCTTCAAATTAACACAGCGTTAAAAGAAAGCGTTACTACACCAGTAATATGTAATTAGTTACATTAAAAGCTGGACACTAAACATGTATTACTTAGTAACGAGTCGTTACTATGTGCCCGCTCGTGAACGCGCACTCTTTGCCGTGACGCGCACATTCCGCGACGGTCCTTCCGAGAGGCAACATGGCGGCCCCTAACGAGAAGAAGCGTGGTCTCGAACATTTGGACGAATACGAACCAAAACCGGCCAAACACCTCCGCGGCCTGCACGACCGGATGGCGGAGAGGAGACTCGTTGTCATTCTGGAGGGGGCGTCGTTAGAAACCGTGAAGGTAAAGGGTCAGAGGTCGTGTTTGTGCTGCCCACCCTACCGGCTGCTACAGGAAGTGACATCAGTAAATACACCTTTAAACTGGGGTAAATAAACACAATAAGTGACATTAGGGTGTTTTTTATTTATTTCCCAGGTCGGAAAAACCTTTGAGCTGTTAAACTGTGACCAACACAAGAATATGATCGTCAAAAGTGGAAGAAATCCGGGAAACATAAGACCAGACATCACACATCAGGTAAACACTCACTGTGTGCTGTGTTCTTCACTTCTGTCTGTCATGAGCTGTAGTCGGAGTGCAGTGCCATTTATTTCACTTAATTATTATTTGAACAACTGAAAACATGCGAAAGAGATTCTGAGCTCTGAAATTATGTTAGTGTTTTGTTTTCCTTTACTTCTGACTGCAGATACAAAGAATGCATTTCACTGTGCATGTGACAAATACAACCTCTTATCTTAACCTGATACATATATTGATAGATATATTGATAGATATATTGGCATTATTTGAGCTCATCTGACTTTGGTATCAGTAAGTATGTCAGCACAAAAATGACAAGAAGTTTCTGTGCACTTTTGTTTAACTATATTTAACTGCACCACCACCGGTTTCTAGTTTGTCCACCAGAGAGCGCTGACTTCAATAATGTCAGGGATCCTTTATCAAAACTGTATTTATCTTAGCATTTTGTTTAAACTCTACACGTCCACCTTAAAGAATATCGTCTTGGTCTTGGAAGTCATTCTTGATACCTGCAGTGAATTTTAATTTTCATGGTGCTGTCGAGTCTGTTACCGCTGTACCAATGTCATATAATGTCAATATTGTCTGTTTTTGAATCTCTATCAATATCAGCTTTAAATCTACTGCCAGTTTCGTCCAATTGTATAACATAGTCTTATTTTTCACCGAATAAAAAGTCAAACTAGCAAAATAACTACTGTAATAACCTCAAGCACGTATGAAAATTAACCTCAAAAACCACATTAGGCTTATTGTCCTGTAAATGTTCAAGTCTTCGTGTAATAAAGTGCTGCATAAATAACCTTTTAACCTAAAATGTCCTTCTTCCCAGTGTCTGCTCATGTTGATGGACAGTCCACTGAACAGGGCAGGCCTGTTGCAGGTTTACATCCACACAGAGAAAAACGCATTAATAGAGATCAACCCACAGACCCGCATCCCAAGAACCTTCAGTCGCTTCTGTGGCCTTATGGGTAAACTACCAGTGTTGAATGCTGTCTGTGTATAAACTCTATATGTGTTTAGTTGGTCTCTGTGCAGTCAGCTGTGTTATGGTTACATATATCCTAAACTCTTCCTCTCCTTAGCTGATCTCCTAATCATTCTCTCTTCTCTTCTTCCATCTCAGTTCAGCTGCTGCACAAGCTGAGCGTCCGGGCTGCTGATGGTCCTCAGAAGCTTCTGAGGATGATTAAAAATCCGGTGTCCGACCACCTGCCTCCTGGCTGCCCCCGCATGGCCACCTCCTTCACTTCCGGAGAGGCTGTCTGCCCCCGGACTTTGGTGCCAGAGGGACCGGCTGCAGTGGTGATTGGAGCATTTGCACACGGAGCGGTGAGAAATGGCTCTTGATGGTGATCGCTGAGTCACTACTTTAAGCGTCAAATATCTGAGTTACTGATCTCTTTGTCTTCATTAGGTGAATGTGGACTACACAGAGAAGACTGTGTCCATCAGTAACTACCCCCTCTCTGCTGCACTGACCTGTGCCAAGATGTGCTCTGCCTTCGAGGAAGTGTGGGGTGTCCTGTGACAAACACTCAATGAACTACTGATGTTGACCAGGCAGAGACAGTAGAGTACATGGACAATATTTGAATGGACTAGGAATGGATATTTAACGGAAACGTTGGGCTGAATGTCCATTTCACCAGTGATGCAACGTGGACTACAGACATGTATCCTGTTATACACTGTATGTGTATACTTGTGTGATTTGGAATATACATATGTTTCTATACCCAGTTTTCCTTTTTCATGTATAAGCCTGTTTTTTGTACCATTATCAGTTGCACCAATTATCAAGTTTTGGATGATCAGACAATACAGTTACATTAAACCATATGACCAAATAATGAGTGACTTTGTTTCATATCAACAGAGAAGAGTTCACAGAAGGAAATGAGATGCACAGTGGAGACTAAATATTATGAGATAATAAAGTACATGAGTTTCCCCGAGACCGTGTTAGTGTAAAATGAAAATAAGACGGTAGTAAATACGTTTTCAACATGGTTGATGCATCAAAAGAGAATATACAATGTCAGGTTGCTGGAGAGGTTTGAGTTTATTACTGCTCACCATTAATTACTCTGAATGCTAATTCTAATAGTAGTAAGCTGCTCTCCTGGTAACCGGGCGTCGCCGAGTTCTCATCCTTGGTCTCGTTGTTGGAAGCCTCCGTTTTGGTGGCTGTCTTTTCCGGGATGTTTTATACGGCTGTTGATTTTGCTTTGGTCGGCGTCTCCGAGCCGTTTGGGCCTTCCTTGGTCCCTTTCGAAGCCGTACGGTTTGGTTTGTTGCAGATCTGCGTTTCTTCCCTGCTGGCTTTGGTGATTTTCTTCTTGGTTTGGCTGTCTTCCTCATTGGTTTGTGCGATTTGGCTGCTGCTTTACGAGTTTTGCCGGTTGGTTTTTGTGACCTGGTTACTGCTTTACGAGTTTTGCCGGTTGGTTTTTGTGACCTGGTTACTGCTTTACGAGTTTTGCCGGTTGGTTTTTGTGACCTGGTTACCGCTTTACGAGTTTTGCCGGTTGGTTTTTGTGACCTGGTTACGGCTTTACGAGTTTTGCCGGTTGGTTTTTGTGACCTGGTTACCGCTTTACGAGTTTTGCCGGTTGGTTTGTGCGATCTGGCTGCTGGTTTGGGAGTCTTGCTTTTTGGTTTGGGAGTCTTTCTGGCTTGTCTCTGTGACTTTTCGGCTTCTTTGGAGGATTTGATGGCTGTTTTGCCCTGCTTCACATCTCCTTTTGGTTTTACTTGCTTTGTGTCCGTCTGTTTTTGATTTTTGTAGGAAGGATTAAAAATTACAAGTAATTTTAATTACTGTTGACAAGACAAACTTCTGCATTTAAATATAAATATCAAGTCAACACTGCACCACATGGGGAAGAACACTGCTGCTCATAAATCCCAAGCCCAAATTTACAGGTTACCAAATTATACAGGCATAGGTTCTTTACCTTATTGTTGAGTCTGAATGATATACTTCTTGTAGTTCGTACAAGTGTCTCATTGTTAACCAGCCTTTTGGTCACCACGTTCACCTGCCTGCTGTTCTTGGTGACATTGTAGCCCTCAGCAGCCAGCGTCTGCTTGAGCTCGGCCATAGACATGCCACCTCGGTGTTTGCATTGAGAAACCACACTGAGGATGAGCTGGGAGACCTGAGGCGAGGCTGGCCTTGCAGTGTTTGTCTTGGGGGCATTCTCGGCCCCACTTTGAATCTGATGCTTGAAAAGACGAACAGGAGTCTCTGAAAGATCAAGAAAGACCAGAAAAAAAATATAATAAATTAAACAGAGGACACAAGAATACAGAATTTGCATCTTAAGATAGGATAAACATATAGTCTAATATAAAAAATAGTAAAGTCTATATAATTCTATTTTATTGTACCTGTTTATTTTGTAGTATTATGGATGAGTTGGCAAAACTCTACAATTTTAAATAAACATCACATTGTTGGTATTTTATAAGTTTTATAAGTATCCTGAATATATTTAAATTTGACCACTATTAGATCAATTTTAAATACATACAGGTTTCGGCATCTTTGCCTAGAATTGCATTCTTGTTGGTACAAAGAGAGGTTTAAAACAGCAGCTAGACCTTCATATTAGGAAATAAAATGTACACAAAGTGTCACTGAATAATATAGTATAATAATCCGGTAGCATATTGCTGCCACGCCAGAAAAAAATAGGATCAGTATTACCATATAAAGTGAAAAGTGTATTGTATTACAATATATTTTAATGTTTTTACTACGTATCAAGTTACAACATGAAAACATATTGTTATAACAATGTAAAGTTATCACCTTATAACATGAAACGTTTCACATTATAACAAGATAAATAGTATAATGCTATTTATAACAACAAAAGTTTCTGTGGTTTATTTTGATGTTTCAAGAAAAGTGTGGTAAGTTCGTAACTTATTTCGTAATAATGTGAAAATATATTGTTATAATGTGAGAAACACCTTGTTAGAATTCATTTTTAATGTTATAATATGATATAAAAAAATGATATTAACTGTATATTTTTATTTGATAGTTATATTTCAAATGCACTTGATTTAATTTCTCTATTTATTGATTAAAAAAATATAAAAATATAACACTATCAATGTATAAATCTAAAATCTCCTAGCAACGCCTCCTCTGCCTATGACGTCCTGACCCCAAATTAAATAAAATAAAAATATAAAATAATAATTACATTACCAGCTCGGCTAACTGTTGGCTGGAGCAAGTTAAAATAGTAACAAGAAGACTGTACTAAAAACCACAAAATAAAAACATACATTTATAAACTCGTATCTGTGAGTGCTATTATTATATTATATAGCTAAACCAAGCTAACAGCGAACAGCTAGCGTCCCGTTAGCCGCCACTCACTTGGTAGAGAAGAGACTTTCCCCTTTGCTGTGACCTCCTCTTGGACCTGGATGGCTCGTTTCAATAGTCGGCCCAAACGCTTGGCTCCTGCTTTCCCGAGTCCTTTCCCAGTGGGAGTTTTAGTCGTTCTCCCTATTTGTTTTAACACCTTTAAATGTGTCTTTTCTCGGGCTTTAATGTTGATGTTAGCATTGCCCTGTGCGCCCCTGGGCGAGGTTTTTTTAGGAGTAGCTTTCCCCCGCATTTTTGCTGCTAGCCTATTTCATATTTCTGAAAAGAAATCGGAAAACTGCCCAGCTGATTGTTTGAGAGGCACACAATGACCTGGTTTTAAAAACAAATGCAAATGTTTTTGTGGTTTTGGGTTTGAAAGATAACAATAATTGAGTTGCTGTGAGACTGCAGGTCCAGAACCAGCAGGTAAAAGTACACTGTAACTTAATGAGGAGTTCAGTTTATTGAGCCTGACTTCTACCCAATCAATACTTATTACTTTATCACCAACAAAGTTTAAGACATCTATTTTAAATTCATTCATAAATTCTATCCAGCTCAGGTTTGTGTTAAACAGTCCAATTTCTGGTAAAACCTGTGATTGTATTGTTGAAAATATTAATGAAGATTTTGGTTTCCTGCAGTGTGTGTGTGTGTGTGTGTGTATAGTTAGTCTTATTTTACTTGCCAAATTCCATATTCATAAATGTAAATTTACTGGTAGGAAACTGCTTTGTTGCCTTCATCAGGGAGTTACATTTATACAGATACATTTATTCAATTCGACACTCTTTAAAACTAAAAGCAATTAAAACTTTAGCAGACTGCACTATATTAAAAGTAAGACTCTTCTTTTCTTTTATATATTTCTTTTATGTTTCTTATTTCTTTGTTAGCACGTGCAGTTTTCGTACATATTAAACTCTCTTTATAATGAGAAATTAATCTAATTGGTTTTACCATTGCAGTATATAAAGTAAAACATTAAGAGAAAATAGTTTTTCAAACGTTTATTTTATTTACATCTTAACAGCTTGCGCAATCTATGGAAATTCAAGCATCTAAAACACTAAGTACCAACACAAAAAAATGTCTGTACATACTGTCGGTACTCTCAAAATAAATACCTGTTGTCTTTATTCTAACAACAGTTTGCCAGCATCCACGGTGCGCTTAATTTCTGCAGCACCGAGTAGGTAATTTGCCAGACAATCCATAATAATCAGTAACTCCAAAAACAAAACCTGCTGGCTTCTAGTTGAGCGTACTCAGCAAGTTTGTAATAAATGCTGCTGGGTTTTATTGGGGCACTGTAGGCTCGTAGGGCACAGGTCAGATTTGGCACAAATGACTGTAATCAGGAAGGAGGGCTCCAAGGGCATGAACTCACGGTATGGGTCGGAGTCACAGTTAACCTGGAAAAGATACATTAAAAGAAATGGGATCAGTATTTGAGAGTAAAGGGAGATAACGTCTAACAATAGAAGCACAGTACCTGAGAAAAAGATGTGAGAAACAGACGAGTGTGTGACAGTCCTGAGAGGGAAGTGTCACTCGGATGGTTCTTTAGACTCTGATGATAAGCCTGAGGAAAAAAAGATGTGGATATATGAGCTTAATGTTTTCTTACACACAGAGGCTAAAGCCTGAAGATGGCTGCTCACCTGCAATGCTATCTGCAGTGCAGAATACTGCACCCAGACCTCCTGCTGCTGCGCTGCTGAGAGAGAAAACACTCCACCCCGGCCTGCTTTTTCTGTCACAGTGAGGTAGTGAGTCCACACACATTCCCCCACAACATGCACCGTCTCACTCTGAGAAAAAACTGCACCACAACAGAGAGATTAGTATGACGTTGCAGTCTGTAAGTGGAGTGTAGAGAAGGCAGGGTTGACGTCGTAAAAACAGTATATTGTTGAAGTAATTAACTGTGTATGTAACCTAAACATGTACTGTTAGACAAATGTGAACTTCTCTTACTGTCGGGCAGGATCAGGTGGAGGATATCTTTGGCGATAGGGAAACCTATTACACCATAATTCAATGCCCTGTTAAAAAATACAAAAGTACAACAAACAGGGATGTGATGAGACGTTCAATTTCCTCACAGTTGTTTTAACAAAATGAGATTGAAGACAGATTATAAATGAAAAAGATTTTCTCAGACAAAAACCTACGAAGTAAATGTTTTTTCATATTTTCGAATTAAAGAATCCTTTTTAATTTCTGAGGTAGGGAATAAACAATAAAAACAATGCAGATTTCATTTTGTGAAAGGAAACTGATGTCTTTACCTCTTGATACCACAATTTATTTTCATCTCACTGATTGTAATCTTCATGTTTGTATATCGTGATTTAACTGACGATATATCTTTACATTCCTTAAAACAAATTGTATATTATAACGTTTAATCAAAAGTCCCTATTGATATTGATTTTGAAATTAGTGTATACTTTACCTTGGATAGGTAGGATGGAAGAGAGGAGGGACAAACATTCCCATGGGAAAGAGGAGCTCATTACCCAGGATTAATGGTGTGACAGACAGACTGAAAGAAAATGAGAAAATGTTAAATACGTGTTTAAAACATTCATATTTCTCAACTTAAAGAAATAGAGGCAGACACTTACATATCAGCAGCCTCAGTACGCTCAGTCAAGAGTTTACTGCGTCTCTTTTGCCACAAGGACAGTAGCTGGACGTAGTTGGAGAAGAAGCTATTTGTGCTGACTGTCACCTGGAATCATACAGGTTGTAGAGTCAGAGGTGTGTTAGTCAGCAGAGTTAACTGTGGTTAATGAAGAAGATACAATCTTCATACACCTGTTAGAGCCGTTACAGGTCTGTTATGTACCTTGGAAAAAAGCAGGTCGAGCTCAGCATCACTCAAGATCTTTGTAGTCCAAAGTCTTGGAATTAAAGACTCAACCTGGAGAAAGAGGACAGGCCTTTGATATTAAAAATACTAACAAAATGCAGTTTAAAAAAGATGAGTACAATAAATTGCTTCACATGTTACCTTTTTCATGACAGACTGGAGAGACTTCTGATCTGTCCACTTTAGTTCATGTAATTTGGACTTGAAGGAGGAAAATATATTTTGAATAATCTCCTCTGCCTGTTGAACAATAAAAATCTTAAATACACTTCATAAAATTAGCCTTATAAATTAAACAGTTATTGTCATAAATCCCCATGATGACTACCTACCTCTCTGTGCGCTGTCCTTTCACTGAGAAGGTTTCTAAGAACTGAGTCAAATCCTCTCTCAGTCTCTAACACACACTGTTTCCAGCGAGGGGCTACCTGGTGAAGAGGCCCATAATGAAGATGTGACTCAACAAACCAGCTCGTAGGTGACATCGCTTTTAAAAAACAGTATAGAAGGTAGGTGTAAGAAAGTTGGTGTTGACTCACCCCGTCACTGTTACCCAGAGTCACAGACAGATTCCCTGCAGTTTCAGAAAATCTTGAGTCTAGGGCAGGCATCAGGGTGTGCAGCAGATTGAGGACCATGTAAGTATGAAGGGGGGCGCTGAGTGGAATCAAACGTGGCAGCACAAGGTCAAAAAAGAAAAAAAGTCTATATTATGGTGGGTTGTTTTGTGTCACTTACAGTACCTGGTTCTCAGATCATGCTTGTACAGCCATTTGCCAATGATGTGGGACATTTGCACAATGTAGGGCAAGTTATGCAGAAGAACATCATCATCCTCACTGAGGGGCAGTGGATGGAATACAGCCTGCAGACATCCCAACCAATCAATGGCAGGCGCCTGGCTCTGTTGGCATAAAGAAAAGGGACGATTACAGCGGATAGAGACACAGTATGTGTGCGTATAGCGACACATCTTCATCCTCCAGTACCTGTAGCTCTTTGATGGTCATGCGCTGATAGAGCTGGCCTTTTGACAGTCTATACTGCAGAGGGGTAGCAGCCACGGCGAGCTCAGAGGACAGAGAGATGAACGTGCCCACGTGGATCATGCTGCGGCTGGGCAGGGCCCCCAACAGTGCCAGGTACCTCTGACATGATGCCAAGAAAGGACGTAGCGTCTGGATGAAAAGAGACAGGAGAACGATAAAGGAATGCATTAGTGGGATGGATGAATATTGTTGTATTCATTAAAAGATATTTCTTCAATCAATAGGGGTCTGGCTAAGACATTAACCTGAGTTTTAGCTTTAGACTTTTGTGTCTTGCTGTCCCATTCAATTGGGATCAACAGATCTGGCTGATCAATCTGTTGACAAAGAGGAGACTGGAGTTAAAGCAATAGCATAAAGCCTACTTTGGGTATGGCAGTGTTCCCACCAGCATGTTAGGACTTACAAATTATCCTAATGGATACTGGCCTGTATGTATCTTTTGGTTGTCCCGCGGGCAATTTCATTTGGGTCTCTGCCCACATAGAGGTTGAAGAATGGAAAGGTGGCGTAGTCTCTCATTAGCAGGCTCAGGGTGGAGTTGAAATCGGTCTGATTCCACTGGCCTGATACTGCCCAGCCTCCTAGCTGCATAAACAAAAAGTGATTATCATAAATAAGAGAGTGGGACACAGATATTAAAATAAATACTTTTGTCAAACAGGAAAAACTCAACTAAATTGTTATGACATTATTATTTGTAATTGTAGCACATTCTTTGGACCAATCAGTCTAATTTAAATGAGACTAAGAGATGTGAGACTGTGCTCTGAGCTAAATGCTAATGGTAAGACATGCTAAAATGCAGATCATACCTTCTTAACATAATCAAAATGTTAGCTTTGCACATTTAGGAACTTTTTACAGGGTTCTCGTTTTAAAACAAATCAACACTTAACATCACAAAGTCAGCTGGAGACGAACATTTCAACTCTTTTAGCATTGGCATTAAAGACAGTGGGTATATTATTTATATCATGTTCACAATCTCAGTTTAGTACGTCAGCATGCAATATTTGTTAATATCAATAAATGCAAAGTAGAGCTGAGGCTGATGGGAATGTCATTAGTTTTGCAGCAAGTGTAAACCTGCAGGCATTTTGTCATAAACCAAAGAAACAGAACCATAAATGTCAACTTCATGGTGGCGCCCGGGGAAAAGTCATAGGATCACCAAAGTCATGAGGCTTCATGCTGCTAGCATGGCTAAAAATCCTGCTCTTTTAACAGTAGGATATTGCATAATTTCTTTGTGCCTTGCACGCCTGAGATGCTGTGTATAATGGACAATTAATTCCACCTAACTAATAAAGAGCGGAGATAAAGGAAGATTGCATTTGACAATCAGGCCCACATTTTATATGAATTTTATCATTTCTTTTTATCTTCTTTTTTTCATTTTCTTCATCTCTCACTTTCTGGATGAGTTCAAGGAAGGGCTCTGCTCCAGCGGTCTCTAAGGATTTGATGTCCAAACAGGAATGATAGAATCCTTTGGCCTTCTGCACTGCTGTACTACCCGGTCTGGTGCTTGATTCTGAAAGACAGATCAAGAAAGAACACAATTCAGACAATACATTGATATGATGTACTCTCTTATACAGAAATATGTTTGGATAAAGCACTACAATGCAGAGTGGTGTACATAAGAAGACATTGTAATTTCAGACTCCTACCCAAAAGCTCCTTGAGATACTGCAGCAGCACAGTTTTTCTGTCCAGTATTTTGTCCTTTTTCAGCCCTTGGTCTTCTCTCTCTTTACTTTGTGCTCTCCTCTTCGGCCAAACAACCGTTTCCTTCTGGTTCTGTGGATGTCCGGAGATACCCTGACCTCTCTGTCTGCCCCCACTGTCTGGTGAAAGTCTGTCAGATCCACATGTGAACAAGAAGTAATCACAGGGCTGCGTGAAGGGATCATCAGACATGGACAGGCGGTCCGAGGCCCACTGACAGGCTGGGGAGAGACATGGAGTTTCTACAGGAAGAAGAGAGGAGAGTTAGACAAAATTCTGAATTTCTTGTGTCATGTTGTTGCGTCATTGTATTTTTCTGGTGGCCTTACCTGTGCCGGGCCGGTTATTGCTCTTATTCTGAAGATTGTGATGCATGTAATAAATGAGTCCCAGAATGGCAGCACATAAGGAGAACCCCAGAAGGAGGAGAAGCAGCCTTTGATGGTTTTTCCACCCTGGCTTTGCTCGATGCTGGTGCTCGGGGTTAAGCTCTGACAGCTCAGGCTGGAACTGGGTTAGTTGATGGGTAGTGGAAGGATCTTGGGTGGGGAGTGGCAGCTGAAACAGAGGTGGAGGCTGAAGCTGCCTCTCAGGTTCTGGCTGTGACGATGGTTGGACTGATAGCTGAGTCTGGAAGGGAACAAGTGAAGCAGGAATGTAACTGGGTCAACCAAAATAACATAAATGTAGAAATATACATCATTTGATGGATGGGCAGTCACACAAGCCCAGTGCAGATGTTAGAATAATGTAGCCCACTGTTTTCAACTTTTATTGTAATCTATAGTAATCCTCATCTATGTCTAAGGGCAGTTTAACCCAGTGGTTACCAACCTTTTTCCTTAAAGGACCCCTTTTCTATCATTGAGTAAACTGATGACCAATAGTGACATATTTTATGGATATTTCATATTATATTCAATTAATAATAATAACAGTATAGAATCAATTATAAATGTACAATTAACACGCAATGGAATAACAGCAGGAAGTTTGTGTAAAACAACAATTTGGGTGAATTTTGAGCAGATTATTTCCTGTGAATATTGCATCATCATTTTAGGGGAACTTTTTATACAATCCTCTGTATTATGTTTAAAATATATATATACTTTACATACATATATATAATAGGCTTCTTTTTTGACAAATTCAATGTTTTCTTCTTAATGATTTAGGATGAGGCAGTTTAGGCTCTGAATATAGCTGGTGTTCAGATCTTTAAAGATTAAATAATCTCAAATTATATTTTAACTAAAAACAATATCATTTAGTTTTCTTTACAGAAATAAATTAAATGCATGAAATTTTAAGTTCTCATACCCCTTAAAATGGAGAAGGCCTTGCCACCCCGTGTCAATTTTTGGCAACCCCTAGGGGGTGTCCCGACCCCCTGGTTGGGAACCACTGGTTTAAACAGACAGTGATGTCTCCCTCTCAGGGGGTTTCATTTTAATAAACATGTCCAGAAGTTTAAAAAAAAGCAAAGATTTGAAAAAAGCCAGAAAAATTAAGCAACATTTTGTGGGGTTTTATTGTCTTATCAGTCATCTGTTGACACTTTAGAGTCCAGATCCCCAGGTTGGGAGCCACTGATATATTTACTCAATAGTGATGAAATGTACATTCACATAAATCAGCTGTGTCATCATTACTGATTGATAAGCCACATAAAAAGATCTGTTGTAGCGCTGGGCACATGAGCTTTAACAGAGATCCTGGTACCCCAGAACCCACTGATCACCCACCTCCCCCCAACACACAAGTTCTTAACGTTACATCGAAGCTTGAGTAATTTCAACTGCTATGCACAAGAGGCCTCTCAATATTTCCTCGAACCACTTGGGAATTTCCGTTCTCACTACTTTCATTGGGAATTTCCGATGTCGCTACACTCAGCAACAAACACCACTGGCTTGTAAGATCCCACTACTCAGAAACTAAACTTTACCATCAGACATTATCAAGAGCAGCTACATGATATGAAACATTACAAAGTGGATGTTCGTGTATTTTAACTTTTAATCAGAGAAACCTAATTATATACTTAGATATATCAACTGATATATACTTTACTATTCAGGTATGACTTTACAGTTCAGTAGCATCATACAGCATATTATTATCTATGTACAGTATGTTTTCTGTCTTACTCTTAAAAATGTACAAAGTTACTTAATATGCTGATAAAAACTTTTCTGGCTCTGCTCCAGTTTCATGCAACTAAAACAATCACACAAGCAACATCGAACATAGTAAACTCTGCGTTATTTTGGAAAAGTCCTACCTCAAGCTCTCTTGGAGATTCACTCATTCTTAGTGTATAGACGTCTTACTCTGTTTCTCCAGTGTGTTGCATCCTCTATCTTTTACATTCGATGTTTCACATGTGCTCCCTCCTCCTGCTGCCCCCCCCTTGTCAAACAGCTGTCGTCCCAGCTCTCTATCTCTTTTCATCACTCACGTCTCTCCTCATCTGACTCTCTGATAAAAACAACTCAGCCGGTTACGTCTTACTTTCCTGTCCAGAACACAGATAATCAAGCAAAGACTATGGTTCTACTCTGGGACATGCATGTGGATGTCTTGTGGACTCAGGAGAAACTCAAGATGGAGAGTCTAACTTGTGTTTAGACTACCCCTCCTGTCTGCAGTGTCAGAGGCCTGAGAACAGGGGGGTTGGGACTGGTAAGTTAAGGCCAACAAATTGCTTTTGCTTATACATTGTTACATTGCATTGAATGAGGGCAAGCACCTTCTGGAGAGTAAACACTCTCTCTTAGATGCACACGCACACATGTCGTCATTATCAGCGCAACACATGGCTGTTAACAACTGATAGAGCCTTTTGGCGTCCTGTAACAGTGTAGCACATCATTGAGAGTGTGGGAGGATACACGTTTCATGGATGTCACACAGGGGCCGGCCAGAGAGAGAATATGGTGGCAAAAACAAATATGACAAACTCCTAATTGTGTATAACTTTACAGCTACATGACTTACTTTACGACTTCTTACACTTGTCTACACTATTTCATGTATTTGTAGGTGTCCAGAGCTATAAAATCGTACAGCTGACAGATGAGAAATCCAGACAAAAACATTTGGTACTTTGCATTTTATTTATTTATTTGTTTGTTTATCTTTTAATACAGCCAAAGGGGTAGGGGTGGGGCTAAATAATGTTTTTAAACATATACACATTCACACATATCAAACAGGAATTTATAAAAAAAAAAGTTATATGAAAAGACAAGGCATCCGCATGTAATACAATAGGACATAACACAACAAAACGCCAGATAAATGCAACTGTGAAGGCATCATCATACGTTTAATATCACATAGTGATGACAAAGGCAGGGCCACAAAGGTGGAGTAGTTGGTGCAAACAAAAGACATAATACTAGAAGAAATGCCGCCACCACCAACACAGTTAGCATGCAATGCTGAATAACTATTGCCATGTTAAGTCGTTCTGGTGTCATACTGCACCAGGCTCAATGCAAGCACAAGTAACAACTGTTTTCTTATTGTGGAATGAGTTCTTGTGGCTGCAAACCAGGCTCAATTCAAAAGGAACAATGGTAGAATACAATAGTGGAGAAGGCACATCTCCAGGTTAAAAATGAAACCTAATATTTGTAAGCATTTGTCAATCAAATGAAATACAGTACAGAAAGATAGGAATAAAATAGTATATAACAGACATGAACAGGCTTAAGTACAAAAGATGAAAAATGGAAAGAATAGTGGTATTTAATGTAACAATAGAATGGATCAAGACCAAAAAACTGGGCTTAAACACAAAAAAAGGAGATAAAAAACATGAATGTCCAAACATTGAATCCAATGCAACTGTTTTATTAAGCATAATCTTGCCAACAGCTTCGAAATATTTGGTCACTATGTTTATCTTACAGTTACCTAAAGCTCAAAGCTAATGCCTCTACCAATTTAATATCCTGCTGTAAGGACAAGTCATTTAGTACTGGTACACATATAACCTTAATACTTAGTAAAAAAAAAAAAAAGGTCCATAAATTATGTTATTTGAAGCAAGAGATTCCAAGAAAATGCATATCAAAAACTACTATTTCTAGATGGCATCTACTTAAAAAACTAACTAAATTGATCATGTGCGGGCTTTAGAGTCAAAGTGACACTAAAAGGATATTTTATTTCACTATGGAACTGTGCAACGATCACATATTAGGTCCTGTTTTCAGCCATGCTGCTGACATTTATAACCACATAGTTTTCTAAATTATGAGATCCCTGGAATGGAATCTGTGCTTGGCAAATCTGTGCTCGTCTGTTTGTTCAAAATTTGTGCATCCAAAAAAACATGCATCTAAAAATACGCTGTTAAATCAGCACTAAACTATTTTTGAGAAGAAAATGGCAGATTTTTGTTCTAATCTTGCCCTTATACAGTATGTACGATCAAATAAGAGAGCGCAACAAGACATAATACAACGCATGCCTGTAAATCGTCTAATTCACATCACAAAAAACTAAGAGCGACATTCACTGTTTTAAATCTTTTTTTGCAGTCAACGTTTAGCCCTAGATGATTTTAAAATGCTATCAGAGTAGATTGGCTGATATGAAGCACTTTCTAGGCTGGAAAGCTTCATTAACCATGCTTACAGGCACAATTACTGCAACAAGTGTTAAAGATAGTGGTAAAATCTGCTGAATGGAAATATCCCAGAACATGGTGCTACTAACATTATTGAGGAGAAACGAAGAAAGGCAACTTTATTTTCATCACACTGCTCTTTTGACAAAACTGTTCTTGTGCAAGTTATGCTGGAAATTTTAGCGTAAACAGAGAATTGGCACAAAAAATACGCTCTAGTACACAAAGAAGGTTAGATGAGAAATTGGAGATTGGGAATAAAAAGATGAGGGGCGTTATTCCAATGCAGTACATTACTTCTGCACTGAAGTGAACAGAGACGAGGGAATACTACACTATCTGCATGCAAACATACCTTTTCACACATTCACACTCACACCTGCGCACATATACTGAATAAAGCCCTGTTTCAAAGGCAAAAACGGCAGCTGACTGAATCCTGTGCTTCTTTTTTTTTTTTGATTTGGTTCATAGTTAATCTGAGTGACGCTGCTTCAGCCAATCAGTGCGCGGCTTGCTTGGCTCGCTGGGTGTGGCACTTCATACACAGGATCCTACCATCCAATGGATAGCAGCCATTTTCATCCGCTTCTATGGAGAGAGGGCGAGCGCAATCCTACAAAACAAATACATTTATTAGCATTTTGTTACTACTAAAGTTTATTGAATACACAACGTGATGTATAAAATGTGTTTAAATGTCTCACCTCACAACGGTAACACTTAAGGTGGAAGTTCTTGTCGAGAGCCACCACTCTGACTGTCTCCTCGCTGCCCGCGGCTGGAACAATGGGTTCATTACAGCTCACACAGAGAGGAGAGAAACGCCTGGAATAGCGGGGTGGAAAGCTGACTGTTAGTCAACAGCCTTCAGTCAAATTCTCACACATTAACACCAAATGAACCAAATCCAACTGTAGTGAGGATTAATCAACTTTGTCAGATGAGATTATTTCATCTACAATTTAGCATGCTGTGTAAACTTTTTATCAGCAGGACACGGAGACATGAGTTTCAGTCATTAGTCCGAATCAAGTGAGTAAGAAGGGTTGCTGCTTTTGTCCTCCACAGCTCTTATCAGTAATCCTGACAAACACTACTAAAATTGATTTGTCCTCAAAACACCTGCTAATGCTTTCTTGTGCTGACAAATGATATAGGTAAAAATCAGAAGAATTACTGGTGAAGACATAAATAGATACGTAATATTTCCTTCGGTTAATCACTGAGGAATCAACAGCCACTAGCTACCTGTGGTAATCCTGGACACAGTAGGGATTGTTGTTGTCATCAGTGATAAAGGGTGCCCCCTCAAGTGTGCAAGAGCAGGTGCTGCAGCGGAAACAGTGGGCGTGGAAACATTGGCCCACCGCCTTCAGCACACGGTCTGTGATCTTCTCCCCACACCGGGAACACACAGCCAGGGAACTCTGAGGAGGAGCAGGAGGAAAATAAGATGTAACTGAGACGGAGGTATTATTAATAAGCTGAAAACACACAGGTGGGCGGTATATTCACTGTGTCAACATGGTTTAGTACTTTCTACACACTTCAGGTATGCATTGAACATTTCGTACTAATGGTGTTTACTCATAAGTATGTAGAATGAAGTGTGCACTGTGTACATTACAACATATAGGAGGACAAATCTAAGTGGAACTGACCCTCACTTTTTACTACAAACACACGAAACACATATAATTGCCAAAATGTGAATTTACATTGTTACATTCAAAGTTGAAATAATAAAAGATAGACAATCTGTGTGTGTCTACTCACCATATAGCAGTCCTCACACTGAGGTGATCCGTCCCTGTCATAGAACTGCATGCCCTGCAGGGGGCGATGGCAACTCATGCAACAGAAACAGTTGGAGTGGAAGAGTTTATCCATGGCCCTCACTGCTGGCTGGGTACGGGACAGAGCCTCACCACACTTCCCACAGACCTCTGAAATGGGAAGGGAGAGAGAAAGAAAGAAAGAGGGTTGAAAAGAGAGTAAGATATACAAACAAGATTGTTCACAAATACAACCATCTGTCTACTCAGCTCTGCTTGTGTTTATTACAGTGTTGTTCCCTAATTCACTTGTATAATTTCATGGATTTGTTCAGTTGTACAGTCTTTTTGCAACATCAAGTTCCATACAACACACACAGCTTAGGTAGGTCTATTTATTAGCAAACAGCAGATAAGGAGGAAAGGACTCAAACCACTGGAGAGATAAATAAAAGCATACATTTTAAATTTTTCAAGCAGCCAGAAAACCTCTCAACAGTTTATTTTTCTTATTTCCAGGGTGGTGTATTAAAATTTCTGTAACATTACAAACCATTTTGATAAAAAAATTACTAGAACCCACCATGAATATTAAGGCCACTACTCTGTGTCTGTGTGTCTATGTACCTGTAGGAGGGGAGGTGATGACAGGTGCGTGTGTGTCCATGTCTTTAATGAAGTCCTTGGTCATTCTCTCCAGCTCCTCTACTTCTCTCATGTTCAGGGGAACACCTCCACCCGGGATAGGAACTGGGCCAGGGGGTGAGGGCTGCTTGTAAACACACCACACACAAAGCCATTAGTACATATGTATACATTATTTACAACATCTCTTATAGAGCATTTTGTTATTTACGATTGAGCAGTTTACCTTTGAAAACACTTAGTACATGTCCAGAAATGCATAGTTCTGATGTGTTGACTATAATCTAAATTATTTGTACTTCCTGTGCTTTTCTACTGTATATACAATTCAAAGAGTGTCTCTAAGTAACTAAAATAAAGCTGGAGCATACCGTTGATGCAGAGGGACCTCTCATTGGTTGGCTAAAAGAGGGGCGGGAAGATGCCATCGCCTTGGGTTGAGGAGGAGGCACAGCAGCAGGAGGGTTTTGGTTAGCATTCACCTGACTGGCAAAGGGAGAACTCTTTATGTGATTAGAGGCTGGTGCAGACGCCATATTGTTTGGTGGGGTAGGAGGTGCAGGGGGAGCTGCGGGAGGTGGAGGAAAAGAGCTGGTGGCGGAGAGGGCTGGAGGGAAAGAGCTGGTGGCTGCGGGAGGTGGAGGGAAAGAGCTAGTGGCAGAGGGAGGGGAAGGTTTGGGAGCAACACTGATTGGGGCGGTGTTTTGGTTCAGGTTTTGGTTCAGTTTTTGTGCCAAAGAGGCTGATGACGTTGTCGGTCTCCCTCCGAAACCAGACTTGGGAGCTACAGCCGGGGCCTTAGCAAAAGAGTTTGGTGCAGAGTTGCTGTGGTTGGCTTGTCGGTTCGTTCTGGCTTTGAGTTCTTCTGCCCAGGGTGCTGGAGGCGGGCGGTCTCCCATCTCGGGGGGTGGCAGGAAGGAAAGAGCTGGTTTCGGAGCAGTCGGGGGAGGAGCTGCGGGCTTGGGTGCTGGTACTGATGGAAATTGGCTTGGTAACTGTGAATAAAACGACATCCACAATAAAACAATGTAATTACAGATTCTTTTACCTCAAAACGCAGCACAGAGAAAAAGGGGAATTCAACGTGAGGCTATTTTATGCAAGCATTCAGTTTGTCCAGCAACATAAAACTTCCATTTATCATAAACTATAATTTAACAGAGGGAAGTTAATATCTACGGGATAACCTTGCACACTAAAATGCTGCATGCAGGCACTTTTATTATATTGAATGAGGTACTTTGATTAAAGTAAACATTGGAAACGCTCCACGGTTTGAGCTTATCAGAAGTGCTTCGTCTTTCTGACATTTATTTTGTAGTTTTGAGCCAACGTTATTCTGCCCTGATCCAGCACCTCCCAGTTGGATAAAAACACTCTCCATTTATGGCCCTCTCACTGGGTCTCTGGCAGCACACTTTGGCTTCATCACACTGTCATGCTCTCCACTCAATTCTATGTCTCTCTCTCTCTCTCTCTCTGAATCACCAGCTACCTCACTTTATTTTTCTCTTTCAGTCTGATGTGCTGTATGTGCAGTTTAGTTATCACTGAGCGCTCAACCTAAACAGACGAAGAGAGACTAATGAAACAAACCTGGAATCTCTCCATAATATTTCCACTGACCTACACTACCTTGCTATTTTTTCTTTTCTTCCCTCTGTGCTGTGTGACTCACTCTTTTTCTACAGTGAGGTTCCTGTGAGTCAATGCCTGCTGTCATTTCCCCTCTCATCTCATTTGTCTATCTGTATCCAATGTCTGTTACAGCGTGTGCCCCATCCCTCCATGCATTGTACCTTAGGGTTGAAAGGTCCCCTGGTCTCCATCTCAGACAGCAAGTCAGTTAGAGAGTCAAGCTGTTTATCGAAGCTTGTCTGCTTCTCTATCAGTCTCTGGCAGAGGATGCAGAAGAAGGAAAGAGTCACCTAAAGTACACTTATTAACACAAATAAAGTGATCACAATGAAGCAAATGTGGATGAGATGTGGGTTTAATTTTGTACTTTTTAACAATGGCTAAACCCAACACTGATGTCTTTGTAGCCTGACAATTTAAACCAGTTGCAATTAATGCATTCCTACAGTAAACATCTTTACAATAAACCTTCCGTTGCGTGTCTATTTCAGTGACATAAATGGGCAATAATCCTGTTAGAAGCATGAAGCTGGGTGATTTACCCCAGACTAATGCTAATATAATTTGTGGGAAAATCTCAAAAGACAGTATTTCCTGCCAACACTCCATGGACTCACTATGGTCCCACAACAATGTCCTCCAGTGTCCCACCTGATTATCAAATTATACTGAAACGCAGTTACATGCAGTGAAAGGAAGAGGCATGCAGACAGGCGAAGCTACTTCAGCCTATTTTGGTGAAGTTTTCCATCGTGACTCACCTGTGGGTTCCCAGCAGCAGTGAGGATACTGGTACCGGAGGCAGGGAGAGGTGGAGGGGGTGGGGGAGGAGGGGGACAAGGGGAGGTGGGTGAACAGGCACTCTCCTCAGGGGGAGCTGGGAGGGGCAGGTCATCGGCCACTGGAGGTGGAGCGGGGAAGGCGGGGGGGGGGGGGGCGTCGGAGGCTGTGGGTATGGTTTGGCATTCGGGGGGAGGGGCTGGCAACTCATCATCCAGTGGAGGAGGAGGAGGAGGGGGTGGGAAGTCTGACAGAAATGAGGAGGGTTGATTGGTTAAAAGCTGTGACAAAATGGTTTGTTGTTTGTATTAATCATCCAATCCAATTTTCTTTGCATCATTTATCATATATACTAAGCGCTTTAACATCATAAGTTTACAGGAAAAAACCAAACAAATAGGACAATAAAAATAAAATAAAATACTGGGGAGGATTTGGCCAGTTTGAGAGCTTGTACCACTGATGGCTTCTTATTTTTATACGTGTACTGTCAAAGGTTATAGCCAAGTCCTGCCCGGTAGATGCGGGAATCCTGTGTTTTCCTGCATTAAAAGGTGTCCTGTGGAGTTTTCTTGTAAACAAAGAAAATGTTTCACTTCAGTGTCTCTTACCAAAATGCACTGTGTGTATCCCTGAGGTCTAACAAACAGGTTGAATGCTTTTATCTCCCTCAACATTTGGAAATTACATCCATGTTTGTTTGCACACAGTCTTCTTGTTCACAGCCTGTGCAGGTGCATTGCTGTGCCTCTCCCCGCGTACACTGTCGATCCAAACAGTGAAACCAGTGGCCTGTGCATGTGTGTCCTCATGCATGTCAAAAACTCCACAGGTTACCTTTAATTTGCCAAGGCTGTCTGTGTCTCATGATTTAGATCAGCTCAGACATCTTAAAATTCATACTAGTGGTATAATTATGCAGAACTCTAAAAGCAAAAGTATGAGACTCTGCAAAAGTATAAGATAGTAACAATCTCGACATTTGCCTAAAATGTCCAAAAGGCAGGAATTACAGTACATTAATGTAATGTCTCAGAGACAATGCATTAAAACAACACTACCACACAATTGATTCTATTATACACTCAACTGTGAAGCTCTGCATGCTGTAGCATAAAAAACAGCAGGGGTAGGAAAGGGGAGGGCTGCTGACTGAGTGGATTAACAAGCTAGTAACAGAAATGGCTCACAAAATAGCATAAACAATGCAAATACCATCACACGCTGAAGTGGGCGGTGGAGGCAGATCTCCCACTCGGCCAATCACACCTGTGCCTATTGGTGTTGGTGATGGAGCTGAGGGAGGTGTCAGACTTTTGGGCCGTGGTGGTGCCACAGAGGCAAACTTCTTTGGCTGGTTGTAGAAGGACGGGGTGGTGACTTTTAAGTTCAGAGAGGATGTCACCATGAAGGGCTTGCTGCTGCTGGAGTCCTCCATCTTGTGTATTTATCTAAGGATGAACGCAAGAGACAGTCAGACACTAAACAATAACAGAGCAATATTATTTTTTATGATAAAAAGGTATGAAAACGGGTTGCAGTGAAGTACAAACATCTCTGAATCAGGAGTTTCACTCTAACACCCCACATAATGAAACCGACATTAATCAGCTGACTAAAAGCAAAGGGCTTGCATTCCTTGGCAGTGTAGGCCTGTCGGGTCTCTGCCGGAGAATTAGTGGTGATGACACATCAACAAAACATTTGGCCAGTCACAATTCCAAACTACATACTAATTGTAACCAGACTGTGAGTATGTAGAGCCTTTACACTGAAAAAGGGACAAAATGAACTACGCTCAGAGACACAAACTAAATTTGCTTGACGTTTGACCTTCAGTGCACTGCAAAATTGGAAACGGAAGAGCTAATTAGAAATGAAAAACGGTGTGGGAACAACTCACAAAATGAAAAACAAGAGTAATAAATCTTTGGGAGGACATTTTTCTTTCGCTCTGCTAAGTTTCCAACTTTAGAACTGGAAATAGCTTCGTAAAGTAGCAGCCTAATTGATTCAATCTGTGCATATTGTTTTGCATTTCCTGTTGGTACAAAACACTTTTTTTTACATTAACTGCTAAAACAGTACACTATGCAGATTGGTACCTATTGTATACTTTATAACTGGGACACAGCTGTCTTGACCCCTAAAGTCTTAGAAAAACTAATTAAAATGGAGGTTTATTGTGGCTTGCAGTGTCTCTTCAAATGTAGTTTGGACTTGGACTATTTCTGGGTTTAGTGAAATAGCAGTAAAAAAAAATAAAAATAAAAATATCCAGCAGGCATTTTGCAAATCCAGTGTTACTCTTTAATCACAAACACTCTGGCAAATGGTCTACAGTGGAATGAGAGAAAAGTGTGTGAACATCTCCTCAGGCCATGTATACAGCATATACATAGCAGCACTCCCAGATGCCAGAGAGAATTTACAATATTTAACACATGGCTGTTTACAGTGACATAAAACACATGTGATGGTAAGTTTTGTAAGAGGGACACCTGTTTGAAGCGGGGGGGGCGACAGCAACTATCATAACATTTTCATGTGAGGTGTGTCAAAAAGAGGGTGAGCTCAAATATTTACCTCACACATGTTGGTGGTTAAACAAATGTTGATGTTACTTCAGTGTCTCTTTTGAGATTCCTTGCAGAGACTGAACACATTTCCCTGAAGGCCACCGGCCCCCGAACATGACCTTTAGTCAAAAGCGCGGTTGTTCTTACTGACCCCCTCCACCAAACACACACAAACATACATTCACGCACACATCTGTACACACACACTGGCTCACACTCTGTTGTTATTGAACAAACTATTCTACCCCGAAGCTGTGAAATAGTTTCATAATCCAATAATAATAATAATAATAATAATAATAATAATAATAATAATAATAATGATTGCCAATGCACAGTGTGCCAATGATTAACACCTCAATATTTGGACTATGTATTTTGGACTATATATTTTGGAATTATGCAGCCTATGTTACAGGTTGTAAAAGATAAATGTCTCGACACGTAACCTTTAACAGTCGCAGGTGGTAAAAATTAGACAGATAACCTTTTTGCATTGAACAAACAATACGTAATTACCATCTCTCTGTTGTGTGGCATTTATCCTCAACATCTTAATGAAGGTTACACAGCTTTGATGCCTCCATAAAAATGCCAACGTTACTATAAAGAAGAGTGTGGGACTATTTTCCTAGTTATTTATAGTTCAAAAGTAAATGTCCATTTGCTCTAATAAAGCTACACCAGTCCTTCCTTAAAGTCTGCAACCAGTCAGACTCTGAAACTGTTGAAGTAAAACATTGATTACGGTTGTATTAATGTACCTTGGCAGAGCTTTCTTGAGTTAGCCCTAATATTTCTTTCAAAGTATAGAGGTTTATGTGCATGGAAATAAACATTCTAGTATGTTAATAATGTAGCAACAGTTTCCTTTTAATAATAAGATCGATGATAAAGTCGCTAAGAGAGAAAATTACATAAATATTTTCCCCAAAATATAAAAAATTTCAAATATTGAAATAACTGAAGTTATTATAGTGTCTTCTGCTCCTTTTGTTTTACATTAAGGCTTCTTAAGTGACTCATGCTTGTTAAATTTACTCTATCTTACTCTTCTATTACTGGAACTCACTGTATCTAAAGTTGTTATACGCACATAATACTGAGTAGTTGTCAACTAGATCTCCAAAAGCCACAGAAAACTTTGTTTGCACTGTGGGTTAAAACGTAGAGACCATCGGTGGTTTTCACCATTCAGATATAATTTGCAGAGTTTGCATTTGAGAAAACGTTTCCAGGAAGAGAACAACTCTGACACGGCCTTGAAAAATGATTATGTAGACTGGGCCCAGCTAAGGGTGAAAGCTAAACTAACCAGGAGAAGTTGAAGTATCTCATCCTCATTCCACATACACAAGTTCTGACTTGATGCTCATGACATAACTCTCTCACTCTCTCTTCTCTGTGAATGCAGTGCAAACATTTTCTTCTGCTTTTTGGGTCAACTTCCTTTAAATTAAGATTTACTGATGCTGAACACTTTTAATCATTTTCTGTATGTCCACGGCCACGATGTCCTTTATGCATGCGGAGGTGTTTCATTGTGTCATTAGAAAGTCTAAGATGTCCCATTATGAATCACTGCTATATTGGCTACACACCACTTTAACAATACAGGGACATAATTAATCATTTGTCATAATATACTGTTTTGTTGTGTTATCAGAGTTATCATTAGCTCCATGTGTGTACAGTGTGTATGTTTTATCATGTCATTAGGCAAGACAGTATATTTTTCGTAGGTTTTAGACAAATACCAATAAATAAAGTTATAGCTTTCCAATATGACTAGACAAAAGTTTTAGTAGATGAATAATTCCTCATGAATTATTTGACTACAACAGCATTACTGATTGATAATAGTGATCAGCTATGGCCACCAGAAGACAACTCCCTCTCAAATGTCAAAGTCTTTTAAAAGTGAAGTTATGAAAAAAAAAAATTAAAATCAACCCACAGAATCTTAAGTTTCACTCGACTATCCCAAGTAAATAATTCAGAGAAGTGCTGAAAGAATTGATGAGGGGAGATGGCGAGGCTCTAATGGAGATGCAAACTGTTCTGGTTGCCAACTTTCTGCAGGCACACAGGAAAAAAATCTGTGCAGCAGTCTGCACCAGGTGTTTTTGAGTCTCTTGGAAAATAGCTGGCTACTCATTAAACTAGTATCAAGACCTACTTCACGTTGAACAGAGTGGATACTTAATGCAAAAACAGACTGACTGGTTACGGTCAAGATAAAGCTCTTGGATTCATCGTAAAATGAACATCAACAGTGCTCGAAACAGAACACTTGGATCTATGATAGCTTTCTAAAAAAGAGCTCTCGACAAGGATAGGTACAGACTGTGATTTAATCGTTTCATTACAGTACTTAAGCTGCCCCTGTTTCTCAGAGACAATGTGCAATAGTCCTCTCAATTATTCAACAGTGATGATAAGTTGTGGTCAGGTTCCATCTGTTCGTTCATACGGTCCTGAGGGATTTAATACCATGACATCAGCTCCACACTCAGCTTCAGACATCCTACGGCAAATCTATCTTGAAACCTGATCCTTGAGATGAGAGAGACCCTCGGCTGAGGAACATATTTGGCACTACAACTCGATGACATCACCTTTTTTTGCTTTTTCAGTTTCCCTCCAGTCAGCCTCTCTTTTTTTTCATGCATCTTTGCTGCTTTTCTCTTTGTCATTTATATTTACTCCCTAAATGAGGATCGAGTGCTTGTATTAAGTCCGACTCCCTCTCTCGATCTGATGTATAGACTTGTGTTCTGTGGCGGCCCGCAACCATTTTTATCTCTTTTATTCTTTCCTCAACCTCATCATTCATCTCTCACCCACCACTTGAACTGAATGACATCACTGCCTGCATTTAATCATTTCTACTTTACAGCTTTGGTGGAGGATGGCATTGTGTAGCCTTTAGGTAGGCCCCCAGAATAAATTACATACTGTACTCTGTAGCTTTTGAACTTTGTCTTTGTATAAACTCCACACAGCTGAACCCGCTTTTACAGGCTATAAAAAATGGTTCTCAACCCTGTTTTGGGTACCACAGCCCAGTTGGTTTTCATTCCATGTTATCAGGGGTGGATTCACACATGGAACAAAGAGTGAATATAATCAGCCTAACTACCATGAAGGATATACACTAGCAGGGCTGTGGCACAACATGGTTGGAGAATCGCTGTCCTAGAAAACAGAGACTTGACTCAGCAGTTCAAGTCCCATATGGACTATTAAACCGTGCAAACAAACAAAATTAAAGCTAAGCTCTTTTTGTGCCACACTTTGTATTATCTTTGTGTTTTGAACCCCCTCTTTCCTCTGATGCAGTAGCTGTTGAGGAGGACTTTACCACACTCTTCAAAGTGTCAAACTGTTAAACTCAGCTGTGGTTCATTACTTTGTGGTTTAAGAGGAACTAAATTGAGTTTATATACTGTACTACTGCTTTTTAAAAAGGTCATATGGAAGCGTTTTAGTGTGGTGCCTAATCAAAAAACAAAAACCATCTACTTATTATGCGAGTACAGTATTTCTTTACATAGTAGTACCACTATGCCTACATACATTCAGTAAAAAACATGTCCCTGTTTTAAAGGTCCAGTGTGTAATATTTTGGAGGATCTATTGGCAGAAATGGAATATAATATTCATAGGTATGTTTTCATTAGTGTATAATCACCTGAAATGTTTTTCATTACCTTAGAAGGAGCTGTTTTTATCTACAGGGAGATATTGAACCAACCATGTTTTTACAGTAGCTAACAGACAACCACGTTAGTTTCCTACACGCTTGGAAGGGGAGGGTGAGGCGAGTTGGTTGCAATCTAAAACTACACTGCTAGATGCCACAAAATCCTACACACTGGTCCTTTAAAAACAACACTGGAAGGTGGTAACGGTCCCAAATCTGATCACAGCTTTACTCACTAAATATCTATACTTGGCAATACAAACAATAATAAAAAAAACAATAAAGAAATTAACAAAAAGTTTCACATTTATAAAGACAGTTTACTTAGAGAGAACCTGAATTTCTGAAAGTACCAAACTTCTTCCATGTCTGGTCAGTCATTGTATCAGTGACTAGTGTGTTGTTGATGAAACTCTCTATTGTTCTGATGTTAATAGCACACCCAGTTTCTGGGAAAGCGTGTCTAGGCCGGGGGTCACTAATGCGCAGACAAACAACCCTTTTGAGTCCAATCTTACAGGTCACTGGATATGCATTGAGCACCAGTGTTACACTCCCTCTCAGACTACTGTTAGCTGACTGATTAAACAGGCAGCATTTCAAAACTGGTAATAACATCAGCCAGTGGGCTCTGTGTCAAGCTCTCGCCCAAACAACCTTATCTGCACTGACATACAGTAGAATGATGTAGGACAAACAACAGTCACAAGACAGCAAGAGACAAATTCAAGGAGCTAGACATGTGGTGATGTGGGGGCAATGGGATGCCCGAAAATAGCTTGAGAGTGTCTCGACTCATGGAGGCTAGAATTAAGGACGATTCCTTGTCAGCCCGGTCATACAGCCGTTCATAGATTATCTTCATTCACAGATTTTCAGTTCCCTCATCAATTTAATGAGGCGTCAGTGACCATAATCCCAGTCTTTTTCAAACAGAAGAACCACACTTACCTCAGGCTAACCCCGAGAAAGAGCCTGCTTGCTTTTTTATGTTAATACAGCTTACTGTGGCCTCGGGTTGAGGCTCCCCTCCTATCTGGCTGATGAAAAGGCAAATCACATAGGCAAGGCACAAACACTGATAATCACAGGACTTCTCAAAATTGTAGAAATTCTGTGCTAAGATGATATGGTACAATGCTGATGTGTTCTTCAAACATCCCTCTGCTGTTGTGGCAGATCTCTTGCTCTCTCAGACCCAACAAGGTAACTGGGTATGTAAGCCATTCAATTGTACAAATGTTTGGAAGAGGCATTCATGTAACCCTCGTCAGGATGGGCACAGCAGAACAATGAAACGTAGCACCTGATAACAGATTTCTATTTACTTGGCACTATCAATAAGTTAAACATACTGTAGCCTGGTGCTCCACCCACCTTGGCCCCCCATTGATTAGATAGGGTTAGTCTACTGTTAGCCAGTGATTTGACATCAATGGGTGTAAAAACATCATATATTTAGACAGATATTGCGATATGATTCACAATCAGTGTGTGAATTGCCATTTTTTTGCATCACAAATTAAATTTCCATTGAAATAACTATTAAAATCATGATGGGTATGTACTAAAAAACATGTTTTCTTAAATCTGGAGAGCAGGATTTGTAGGCCAGAGCATCTCTGCAGCACTACAGTACTTCATTATAATGCTGGTTTGTCACATATTTTACATTTACCCCCCCCCCAACCCCAAAAAAAGACTGCAGCTTCAGCTATTTGCATGTTGCACTTGGCCACATGAATTGTGCAACCCTACACACAAACACTACAAACGATGGCAGACACAGCTAGAGATAATTACACAGAACCTTTCGTAACTGATCAGCAGCACAAACACAGGAGAATGAAGGTTTTCTAGCCAATAAACTCGTTTTGTAGCTCGGTGGCTAAGAGACATCACATCAGGTTAAATGGTAACATTAGCTCGTGTTAATCAGGTATTGTTACAGCTCGGACGTTTTAATCCACGGACGCTTTGAATGACAGCTGCCACTCACCTGCCACCTTCTGTGACAAACGTTACCCCCCCCCCCCCAATCAATCAATCAATCAATCAATCATCGGTAACGTTAGCTACTACTACCAGTTTGTTTCGGGGCAGAAACACCGCCCCATTTTTTTTCTTTCTTACCTCATGTGGCAAAAAAAAGACGGCTCCTCCTGTGCTGTCATCAATTTTAATATTTTTTCCTACTCTCTGAAGTCCAAAAAAAACCCAAAACGGCTTCACTGCTAGCTAACTAGCTAGCTATCTTTGTCAACTTTTTTTTTTCTCTGTGAGTGTGTGTGTGTCTGTGTAGCTGGACTTCCTGTTAGAGCTTCCGCATAGCACGCTCCTTATCGTCGGTGCCCATCAGCTGTGTGTAGCAGCCCGTGGTGCGTTCAGGGCCGAGAGATTTGTTCCTATTCACTAAACCGACCACTCGGCTGAGGGGGGGGGGACACCAGCCCAACGAGAGGTATCTTTCACCCACAGTCATGCGATGTATGACAGATCACACTAGTTCCCATAAGATGTCATTTCCTGAGGTGATAACTGCAGCCTTAAATGACTAATCGGTGAATTCCGTCATTATACTTACAGCCTATATAAAAAAGACTTTACCTTATTAGGTAACCTGCTGTATCAGTCTGCCCCCTCCACCCCTTCCAACAATGTAAAAAAACATGCCAACTATTAATCTGATTCACAGCAAATACAGTTACTTACCCTGTTAATACAGCTGCAGTGTGGATCTTTTCCTTGCCCCTCTTTGCTTTTTGTTCTTCTATTTTTCTCTTGGTCCAAGCTGAGTAAGAGTTTGACTGTAATGGTAACTTCTCTTTCTCTCTTCCCCTCTCCAGCTATTAGACCCTCCCCCTGTGCTTTTCAGTCTGGAAAAGGAATGACACCATCCTTCCAAACAAGTTCTTTCTCGTTTGACTTTGGCCCAGGACTTGTGTATTACTATGTAAACAGCACCTCTCTACCTCTCTACCTCTCTCTCTCTCTCTCTCTTTCTCTCTCTCTCTCTCTCTCTTTCTCTCTCTTCATAAACTGTCCAGTCAGACCCCTCCTCCTCCTCCTCCTCCTCCTCCTCCTCCCTTGCTCCCCTTTCTCTCTGGATTCTTGCAGCATTCTTCAGTCAATGACATCAACCCTGTTGCCTCTCCTTGTAAGGTCAGACCGAGGGAATGAGGGAGCAAGAGGGAGGGAGAGATAATGGGGCTAGAAGCTTGATTAGATACAGACACTAAAAGTGGTCAGAGGTTTAAACACAAGGAGGCATAACGGCTGAAGAAAGTATGTTCAACCAGGGCCCGGCTGTGGAATAGGTTGGCTATTTTAGCTTCTATTTACTGACAGGAAAATAAATAAGACTGTTTTTTAAAGCCTTTCTTTCTTTCACTTGCCCAAACAGGCAAAGCTGAGGATCAGATTGTAAAGGCATTATTATGTTGGTTGCCAAGTGCACTGCCACATCGTTATTTGCTTTGCACTAAGGCTGTAAACATGCGAAAGGCTTAGACTACGTCTCTGTACACCATTAGTACCCGTGATTATAGAGTGTAAACGCATTTTTATGTCTTTTTCACAAGTCTTGCTGTTGTTTCTTCGTAACAATAAGGATGTGATCGAACTGGTGTTAAATGACACCTCCCACCCTTCACATCAGCAGCTTCTATGGCTTAATATCCTTGTATGTCTCACCCACACACACTCACTCATACCCTTGCAACTCACTTTATCTTATCACACTTTCAGGTGTCGTCATTGCTCACACAAAGCAGGAAATATCTCATAGCATTTGTATTGTGGAGTCCCTTTGACATACAGTTTAATATTCAATTTATTTCTGATATTTTATAGATAGATAGATAGATAGATAGATAGATAGATAGATAGATAGATAGATAGATAGATAGATAGATAGATAGACAGATAGATAGATAGATAGATAGATAGATAGATAGATAGATAGATAGATAACTTACACAACCAGTGTCCAAGAGTGGATATTGTGTGCATAAACCTGAGTTTCACCCTGTTTCTAACTACACTTTATGTACAAGTAAACAGCTGGACAGATGTTGAGATTTCACTGACCCCCAGAATTTTATGACATCACCTGGGTTTGTGGGAAATTGTCCATTATTTTAACCAAACATGATTTATAAATGGAGACAATAAACGTCAGATCAGTCGTTAAAATAATCATTAGTTTGCATATTTGCAGTCCTATCTGTGTCTGTTTCTAGATCATCCTGAAAGAAAGGAAACAGCATTGGACAACTGCAGCTCTACTGACACTACTTTTTTTTTTAAATGTCCTGTCTTGGCTATAGGCTGAATTTGACACTAAATAACCTTTTTAAAATGGATGTGACTCATGGCTACTAACTCACAGATCACGATATGACACAGACACAGTCGCAGTCTCATTTAATTCAGGTTGTGAAACCTCAGGCCAGGTTCTCCAAACATCTGCAGTAACTGTTGTGTAACCTGTTGCTGTCTGATTCATGTCTGTGAACTACAGGGAGTGGTCATCAGGGTCTTTGATAGCCCATTGTCCCGTAAGGAATGTTTCCAGTCTCTCCCCACTTCCACTGGGACAAAAATGTGTCAGATTTCCACTCAGAGATTTCCACAGCAACTCCGGTGCTGTGCTGAGGGAAGAAAATAAAAAAGCACACCCCATCCTGGCTGCCGGCTCTCAGGCAGGTGACATGCGAGAGAAAAAAGGTCAAAGTCTGTGTGCCGTTCCAGATTTCAGCCAGTTCCCGAGCATGCTTTCTGTCAGAGCCGTGGGTGGAGAAGGGGAAGGAAGCTGAAACGACACATATGTAATGCTCTTCTTCCCCTTTTTCTGCCAGCTGCAAACACAGAGTGGTGCCATGGTGATGGAAGTGTGGAAAGTTTGGTTCAGGCAGGGGAGAAGGCAGCTGAGGGGTCCAGTCAGTCTGGAGGTAAGACAAAAAAAAAAAAGAAAAACAGGAGGCCGTCAGAATCAGAGCCAGACAGCCTGGAATGCAGCCAAACCTTGGAATGAGCAGTTCCTCTCCCCCTCCCTCTCTAAAGTGCCATATTTCTCTCTCCCTCTTTCATGCTAAATTTTTCTTCACCACTTTTTCTCCCCCAATCCCTCCATTTCTCAGTCTGCCCTCCGTACTCTGCACTTTTATTTCCCTTCCCATCTTTCTTTCCGCTCCACACTCTCCACCTCCCACTGCTCATGTGAGTCAGTACCTGCTCATAATACCGAGTTAATACCCTGATCTTGGATCATTTCCGATCTATAAAGAGTCTCTCTCTCTCTCTCTCTCTCTCTCTCTCTCTCTCTCTCTCTCTCCCTCTCTCTCCTTCTCTCTCTGGATGCACTCATTTTCTCAACAAAGGAAAAATGGGAAGCCATTTGAATGCAAGGTAAATGTTTTTAATTGCTCACACCCAAAGAAATGTATTTTAAATGCATAGAACACAATCATGACAAAGCAGACTGTATAAAGCAAATGATCTGAGCTGTTAGAAATTATAACTTTGTATTACTTTCCACTTTTCCTCTGTTGATATTTTTTGCATGCACACATTTTTGTGTGAGTAAATGTTGTGCTTCGATAACAAAATACACCACACAAAACAAACACACACTGCACCAGGCCCTTCCCACCCCAGTCCCCCCATTTTTTGTAGGTGGTTATTTTTTTTTAGGAATTCCTCCACTGATATGGGTAACATGGTATCCAAATAACACTGAACACAGAGAGGCTCGGTTAGGAACACAGGCAAAGAGAGTGTGACTCTTTGCTGAGGACACCAGGACTATAGATTACATATATATATATATATAACCTTTAAGAAGGTAATATATCCCTGTCTAAGACTATATGTGATCTTATCGAGGTTAACATAGCTGGTTCCTTCAGAAAACCATTTAGCTGTAGAGACAGGGGAGTCAGACTTCTATGCACATAAAGCTATAAAACGTTCTTTGATATTCTTTTAGATATAACCGATATTGGCAAAATTCCCTAATAAACAAAGGTCTGTGTTCATTAATTTTTGTCAGTGTGTTACAGATATACCAGGAAATGTGAACTTTAATACACATCCATGTATAGTGCGAGAAAGAGCTGTTCAAAGTTCCACCTCTAAAACACATCTCTGGTATTTTAGGTTGATTTTGGGCTGTGAGATAAAGCTGATGAAGGAAACTGTTATGTACCCCATATAGTATAAACGTGTAGACCGCAGTGGAGGTGCAAGGGACATCGAACAAAAACAAAGCAAAAACCATTTAGCCATCAAGCAGAAATTCCAGGCGTACTTTGGAGAGGAGGAAAACGTGCATACTTGTAACAGAACATGGTCTCTTCACTCAGCACCCGGAGGAAAAATCTCTCTGCTGCCAAACTGGATTCTATTCAAAGCCAGTGTGAGACTGCAGTGCCCCAGTTCGCCCACCAGGTGTCAGACTGATACACATTACTGTGGTATGCACAGCCAGACTCAAATACCTCGAGGGAAGAAGATTCCCCCAGAATCTCTGACAGCAAGTGAATCCACATCAGCTGAAGATGTGGTAAAAGACAGCAGGGTGTGTAAAGTGGAAACTCATTAATACTGACACGACTCTAAAAGAGGCTGTTAAGGAGAATGGGCACATGAAAAGTAAGCTGGACACAGAGGCATCACTGGGAATAAACAGTGCAGCGGTGGTGGTGGTCTAGACGAGGATGGGCTGGAGCGAGAGAGAATGTGGGGTAATTGCAGGAGAGAAGAAAAAGGATTGTAAATAATAGAGGAGAGATGGGAACTCCTCATACGCAAGGTTTTATGTCAGTGCACAAACACAAACAGACAGACATCATGAGCGCGGAGACTCCATACCACCCACACACAAAATATAAAAACCCAAAAGAAAATGTGTGTGCTCGAGAATTCCAGCTAGAAATGGTAAACTGGCAGCCCGAAGTATCAACTAATAACACATATAAACTCCCTCCCTATGGCTAAAACAAAGCTAATCGCATAAGCAGGGCCATTAGAGAACCCCTTATGAGAGGCTGCCTCTTTCCATAACAACATTTATATCTCTCCCTCATCTCCACCCACCTCCTACGCCCCCATCCTTCCTCAAAAACAAACCTCAGAGAATTTTCTCCCCCCATATTTCCTTTCTCTCTTCATCTTTTTCTCTCCTTTTTGTCCTACCTCTGTCCACTTCCCCCCATTCACTCCTCCTTCCCCACTCACATTTTTTTCTCTCCTTTATACGTGAAACCCAATGCGGGCTGGCTGTCAGATACACACCCTCCCTCCCTCCTCAAGACACACACATTCTCTGTCTAACGAACTTGGTGGCTGCTTGAGGGCAGATGCGTAACATGTGCGTCCAATTAACACATGTAGTAACACATACTAGCAGCAGCTAGGTTCAGCGGAGCACAGAAAATATATGGAAAGCAGTGGGTAGTGATGAAGTAAAAACAATGGGAA